TGCATGTAAGAGAGAGAAAAACACTTAAATAAATGCTGGTTTGAGGATGGACGAAAATCTCTCTTTTCTTCTTGTTTTTGGGCTGAATCCACTTTGATGGGCTTCTCTGATTGACCAAGATTCCAGAACAATTTGGTTTGTAGCTTAATTCAATCTGGTCTTGTCGGAATCCTTCTTTGAATGGGCGTATGTCTGAATTCGCGTAAGCTGGAGATCACCGATTTTGTAAATTGCATAACTCCTTCATCTGAACTCCGATTGATCTGATTCTTCTTTGAGGAGTTTCGTAATTCAGCTGAGAACATTCTCCAACTGGTTTCATGCATAAATTCGCCGTGGTTGATCAGATAAGCTTGATTCAATGACCACATATCCTGCTGCTTCCCATTATCATATCATACTCTCCCTCTTGAAAAAGGATTTGCCCTCAAATCCGGCTACTGTTCTTCTTCTTTCTTTTTTTTTTCTTTTTTTTTTTTTTTTGAGAAAAAAGAAAGGAATAAAAATAAAAAAGAAATAGAAGATGAAGAGATGAGGAGATGAATGAAAGAAGATGGAGAGATGAGAAGATGATAGAATGATAGAATGATAGACCGAGCTTAGAGTGTTGCTCTGATACCAAATGATACGATCCTCCCAAGGATTATGCACTCTAAGGTGGTGAAAGGGATAACTTTGCATCCAAGAGACTGTGAACTCAAAAGGATCAAAGGTTGTTGAGCGAATGGTCGCACAAGAGCTGCGGAAGACTCCTGATTTACCGGTGGATCGATTCTTTGGATATTACACACCAAAGGAGATCGATAACTTGCTGGATATGACGCACCAACAAGGAATGGATAGAGAGATGGATCGAGAGACGCCACAAAGATCTGTGAAAGGATCTATGATAAGTCTGAACAAGCCATGAACATAGATATGACACACCATGAACATGGAGTTCCAAAAATTACAAGATATCACATCTTGAAAGAGAGAAACTTCTCTGATTTTTACTCAACAACAAAACTTACTTTTATTCATGAATTAAGCCTCATTATATAGAGGAGATACAACAATTTCGTCCATAACATGCAGCACAACTTGGAAATAGAAATTCAAACTCTAAAGTGCATGTAAGAGAGAGAAAAACACTTAAATAAATGCTGGTTTGAGGATGGACGAAAATCTCTCTTTTCTTCTTGTTTTTGGGCTGAATCCACTTTGATGGGCTTCTCTGATTGACCAAGATTCCAGAACAATTTGGTTTGTAGCTTAATTCAATCTGGTCTTGTCGGAATCCTTCTTTGAATGGGCGTATGTCTGAATTCGCGTAAGCTGGAGATCACCGATTTTGTAAATTGCATAACTCCTTCATCTGAACTCCGATTGATCTGATTCTTCTTCGAGGAGTTTCGTAATTCAGCTGAGCACATTCTCCAACTGGTTTCATGCATAAATTCGCCGTGGTTGATCAGATAAGCTTGATTCAATGACCACATATCCTGCTGCTTCCCATTATCATATTAGTATATCTGGTTTCCGGATCCGTCATTGACTTGCTTACGTAGTAGATTGGTTTCTGCTCCCCACGGTCTTCCCGAACCAAGACTCCACTAACCGCGTGGTTTGAAACCGACACGTACAAATAAAGTTTTTCATCCACTTCCGGTTTGGACAGTATAGGTGGAGTGGTTAAGTATGCCTTAAGCTGCCCAAAAGCTTCTTCACACTTCTCATCCCAAAGGAATCCTTTGTTCCCTTTTAGAATTTGGTAGAAAGGTAACGACTTATCTGTCGATCTCGAAATAAAACGATTAAGAGCCGCAATACGCCCAGTCAACCGTTGTACTTCTTTGAAGTTTCTTGGAGATGGCATGTTTAGAAAGGCGTTAATTTGATTTGGATTGGCTTCAATCCCTCTTTCTGTCACGATATAGCCAAGAAATTCTCCGGATGGGACTCCAAATGTGCACTTCGCCAGATACCAAATGATACGATCCTCCGGATGGGACTCCAAATGTGCACTCCGCTCTGATACCAAATGATACGATCCTCCAACATATCATCTATGTAGACTTCCATTGTTCTCCCGAGATGATTATGGAACATTTTGTTAACCAACCGTTGATAAGTTGCTCCTGCATTTTCAAACCAAAAGGCATTACCTTGTAACAATAGATACCCCTATCAGTGATAAATGACGTTTTTTCTTGGTCTTCGGGGTTCATCATTATTTGATTATAACCCGAGAAGGCGTCCATGAATGTTAACAGCTCGTTCCCAGCGGTGGACTCTACAAGTCGATCTATATGTGGGAGCGGGAAACTGTCTTTGGGACATGCTTTATTGAGGTCTGTGAAGTCGATGCAAACCCTATCTTTCCCATTCTTCTTCTTGACAACGATAGTGTTTGCTATCCATTCCGGATATTGCACTTCTCTTATGGACCCTATCTTCAAAAGTTTATCCACTTCGTCATTTACTATTTTTGCTCGTTCCACTCCAAGCTTTCTTCTTTTTTGTTTCACCGGTTTGAAGCTTGGATCCACATTTAGTTCATGACAAATTATACTTGGATTTATGCCAGGCATGTCCGCTGCTGACCATGCAAACGATGTTTTGTTTTTCCTTAAGAGTTCAATCAAAGCTTCTTTTATTTGGCCAGTCAAAGTTGCCCCAATTCGAATTTTCCGGTCCGGCTTGTCTTCTTCCAACACCACTTCGATTACTACATCGTCTTTCTTCTGCCCGCTAGGAAATTTTGTTCTTAGTCCCTCTTTTGCGGGCTTCGTTAATTGCTATTGAATCTTCATACGGTGGCTAGCTAGATAACACGTCCATGAAGCTTCTTGATCTCCCCGAATTGTTTCCACTCCTCTTGATGTTGGAAATTTGATACATTGATGATATGTAGAGGGGACTGCTTTCATTTGATAAATCCAGGGAGTCCCGAGGATGATGTTGTAAGCTGCGGGCTTATCGAAGACAACGAAGTCCACGATCTTCGATACCTTTTTGGCAAGGACCGGTAGCTTGATTGTCCCGAGAGACATGGCTGACTCACTTGTGAATGCAACTAATGGGGACGGAGGCCCCACTATGTCCGCCCGACTAATTCCCATTCTTTCTAAAGTACTTAAAAAGATCAAATCGACCGAACTGCCTGTATCTATAAGGATCCTTGATACTTCGAAGTTGGCAACATCAAGGGTAATGACTAGAGCATCATCATGAGGTCTTTCGAGGTACCGCGTTTCTTCTTCATTAAATGATATTGATGCACCTTGAAAATCGACTTCTTCGTTTAAGCTTGCTTTGAGTAGGACATTTCGTCTATGTTTCTTGATGGAACTTATCGAATCTCCGCAAAATTTGGAACCTCCTAGAATAACATTGATCTTACCCTTAGAATTCCTTGGTTCTTCCTCGTTGGTTAACCTTGGTCTTTTGGAATTTTGATCTTTGGAACTTTCCTTTGCTTCGTGGTATTCCTTCACAAAATCTTTTATATCGAATTTGGAAAGATCTCCACTGGCCCAAAGCTCTGCGAGGTGCCTTTTAAGAACGCTACAATCCTTGGTTAAATGTCCGGTTACTTTATGAATGTCGCAATATAGACTTTCATCACGGACCCAAGTGTTTGATCTTCCTTTCCCTTGGAATTGCTTTCCGACGGTACTGTTGAAGGGTTGCGATCCAAATTTCTTTGGTCCTTTGTTCTCCCTGGGTTCGAACTTTTTGGTAGGGACGGTGATTGCCGGCTTCTCTTGCTTATTTCTTTTGGCAAAACTTTCTTTTTCGTCTTCTACCTCCATCCAGTTGTTTGCGCGGAAGAGTGCATCCTGGATTGTGTCTGGTTTATGAAGTATTAAATCTTCTTTAAATCTTGAATCATGTCGCAATCCTTTTCGTAAGGTAGATAAAGCTGATTGTTGTGAGATTCTTGGGAGCTTTGACAGCACTCCTTTGAACTTGGTGATGAAAACTCGAAGTGATTCATTTGATCCTTGCGATAAGTTCCAAAGATCGGCATCCGAAACGCTTTTATCCATAAGGATGGAATATTGCTTTAAGAATACAGCTGATAGCTCGTCGAAATTGCTGATCGAACCCGGTTCTAATTGGGTGAACCACATTAAAACTTGGCCGCATAGATTTTCCGAAAAAAGCTTGCAGTAACCTGCATCCTCATCAGCTTCATCCAATTCGACTCTTCCAGCAGCGATCAGAAAAGCTGCGAGATAACTCTTTGGATCTTCCAACCCGCTGTAAGGGTCCAACTTGAGTTTTCGGGAATCTTTGATTCTCAAACTCGCGATTCGCGAGATGAAAGGTGTTCGCCTAGCTTCTTCAATGACTCGATTGATGTCTGGCTCCGAACTCGTAGCTTGATGGAACTTTGACTTCATTTCTTTTAGTTCTTGGCTAACCTTCCTCATAGTCTCGAACTGGTCGAGGTTTTCTTGCTCGTATTGATCTGCAAGTTGAACTTCATCTTCGAGCTGTGCCTCTCCATCCGATGGTTGAACTACATTATTAGTAGCACCAGGAGTTGTTTGTCCGCTGGTTTCATTTCGCGCAACGGAACTTGGCGAGTTGAGTATCCTCCTTCGGATTCCCACAGGATTTCCTGCACTTAAAGAGCGAACACGAGTTTGTATAGTATTGACGTTTTGACTAAGAGATACCGGGGACGTTTGCAACGTATCGTCGGCCTTTTCCACATCCGAGAACTTTTGTGATATGTCCGACATGGTTTGCTGCATAGCTTTGAGGGTTTCGGCCAATGATGTCTCAACGGCGTCTCCTCCGGACATTGTTGCTTATCTCGGAAACGTAGTAACGAAAAAATCTGACCACTCAAGAATCCTCTGTCCCCACAGACGGCGCCAAAATGTGGATGTCGGATTCACACACTCAAGTATTTTTATTAAGTAGGAAAGATTACTCTTGAGGGACAAAAACGAATATGTAAAAACTTATGAATTGCTACGAAAATTGCTATAGTATTTCTTTCTCTAGAGGAAGATCTCCCTTTTACATGGCCATTGACCTTTATATTTATACATAGAGAAACGACATTAAAATGAATAATTAAGTACAATTATTCCCTCTTAAATGTATCCGTTTTGATCTTTGACTTTAATGCTCAACGTTTGAATTTGAGTTGACTCCGATCTTTATGGGCATCGCCTTTTGGCCCAAATGTCCTTAGGACCGACTTAACCATGACTTCGTCTCCGGACTCGTGTCGAGGTGTAGTCACTTCGGACTCTCTTCACGTTGACAACCACTCCGACTGTTCTTTTGACTTGTGGGTCTAGTGGGCTTTATCCTTTATGGGTCGTTATCCTGTCTACGTGGCAATCTTTGGTTGGTCTCGGACTTCTGGTGCGGGATCCGACACCAACACTTGAGACTCTCAGCTAGTTGGCTGTCCCATCTCTCTTCGCTCCTATCCCTTGAGGTTCTCTTCTCATCATCTTCCTTTTCTTTTGCCCAACTAGGGATTTTCACTGCACCACCTCTATCTGTTTCGCTGTCTTCTCCCTCAGACAATTTTTTCTGCGAAAAGCTAACAGGAACACTTCCTTGTATATGGACATGACCATTTTGGACAAATGGTTCAAAGTTGGAGTTGAAAAGAAAACGACTGTTAGATGTAAGAGAAGCAAAAACTTCAGCTCGTCCAAGGTCTATACCACCAACAGCACCATCCAATAATCTAACTTGTACATCACATTCTGGTTTTTCAAGACTCCCTCTAAGATCCCCTTCCATGTGCAAAATGCCTTTGATTGGTGACAAGAGTTTCCTCAAAGAGTGAACAAGATCAGTAGCTGATGATTCAACAACCTCAACCAAGGTAGGTATCAAACTAACAGGGAAATTCAGAACAGCAAAATGAAGATTGGTTTTTGGCCCCAATAAGGTCCCATCTGCATGCAGTGTAGCGTTTCCTTTTTGAATAAGCATCTCCTTAAGACGTAAACCATCATCATTGCTATACGAACCAGTAGCCAGAACACGCTGTGTTTTGTAAGTCCCCCACTCCCAATCATCTCCATGGAAGTCAAATTCTGCCTGATATTAGATGTAAGAGGAAAACGTTTAAACAAGACATCACTAGAAATTCTCACGTAATTATACCACTCATAAAAAGACTTTTTTAAGACAATTGCACCCGTCACCTTGGACAAGAAAACTTACGAAAACCAATTTGGAGTCCTTAACCCTTTAATTTTAAAAACGAGATGACAGAGTTATTTATATACCAAAGTGTCTCCATTGCCTCCACCACTAGCATCAAGCGAACCATGCCAATGACCTTTGAGCTCAGCTAAACCTGGAAGACTTAGATCTTCAGGAACGACTTCACTTGGTGGAGTATAATACCCACGTATCTCCTGATTTTAAGGAACCATAAAATTCAGCATAGGAAAAAAACTAAAGGCGACTTAATGGTACCTACTCTGTTTTTTTTGTTTGTATTATAGAATCTGCTTTCTGTGTCAGAAGCCTGTTAGCTACTTCGAATGAAGGAAAGGCATAATATTTGGTGCATTACCTCGAGCAAGTCTCGAAGATTTTCAGCTTGCAGACAGAGATTTTGTTGATGTATTCTTAATGAGTTTTATATCAAGATGAAGAGAAACAGAAAGCGACATTTATAGAAGGCGAAGAGTGAAGATGAAGCTGCTGAAGTAGTCGTTGAACTAGTTCAGAGTAGTACAAGAAGTAGTTCAACAGAATAGAATTACGTGAAGCAAGTATTTGGAAATTGGTAAAGTCGGTCTATGGCGGTTGGCTGTGGATACTAGAAGCTTGGAGAAGATTCTAGAAGACTGAAGAGTTTCCTTTTCATAGGAAGAAATGGAAACATGAAGAGAAAGGACAATTTCCTTATCCTTAAGAAAAAGGAAATTGTCTATTCCTATTAGTGTTAGAATAGGAAATCGGCTTGTTGTATAGCCACGACCTATTTAGTATAAATAGGGGGCTTAGGCTTTAGAAAAGGAGAGCACAAGAGAGAAAGAGAATTCTTAGACATTAAGGTTATGGGGTTTCTTGTGAGAAAGCATAATGCTTAAGAGGGCTAAGGGATTTGTCTTTAGAGAGTTCTAGATCGGGTTGTGATCTAAGAACGAGAGATTGAGAGAATAGAAAATAGTTTAAGGAAGACCTTGTAAACGTATTTTCTATTAATCAAAAGAGTTTTAAGAAGAAATTCTTGTCTCAGCTTGTGACTCAGTTCCTGACTCAGTTTCTGTCTTATATCGTGAGCTAGTTCTCAAGTACTTAATAGCTCTTGCACTTTCAATTGGTATCAGAGCGGTCACTTGTGAGGATTGCATACAGGTGAGATCTTGTGGAGAAGATGGAGAGTTATCATGGACTTGACATCGGATCAAGAGTAATATTGAATGATGGAAACTATGGTTTTTGGAAATCAAGGATGAAGGCGGTTATAAGAGGCATTGATGTCTATGCTTGGAAAGCCATATTGGAAAAGTGGGAAGAACCAAAAATCAAGGATGAATCAGGAGCCGAGGTTGCTAAACCGGAGAAGGACTGGACTAATGATGAATTGAAAAAATCAAAGTACAACGCAAAGGCACTCACCGCTATTCACATTAATGTTGGAAGAAACCAGTTCGAACTAATTCAGGGATGTGAAACAGCAAAAGAAGCTTGGGATATCTTGCAAAATCACTTTGAAGGAACCACAAAGGTGAAGAACTCAAGGAAAGACATGTTGGCCTCAAGATTCGAAAATCTGAAGATGGAAGAACGTGATTCAATTTCTGATTTTAGTTCAAAGATAAGTTCTCTAGCTCAAGAAGCATTGACACTTGGAAAGAAGTACAAAGATAAGAAACTAGTCAAGAAGTTTCTACGATGTTTACCTTCAAGATTCATGGCATACAAAACTGCCTTAAGTGTGTCACATAACACGGAAGACCTTAGCTTTGGAGATGTGGTCGGAATGCTTCAAGCTCATGAGATGGAACTAGAGGGTGTGAAGAAAGTGAAAAATCCAAAGGATTTGGCATTAACTTCTCTTGAAAAGAAAACTCAAAAGGCAGAAGAAGATGATCCTAAAAGTTTGTTGTTTCAAAGACTTGATCAACTATTAAGGAAGGTTGAAGAAGAACAAGGACAGAGGAGGTTCAGCTCAAGCAAAAAATATCCAGAAGAAGGTAAAATTATTAAGAAGGCAAATATGCAATGTCATGAGTGCTTAGGGTATGGACACTTCAAATATGAATGTCCTACATTCAAGAAAAAGGATGTAAAGTGTTTTGGGTGCAAAGGTATTGGACATACTCAGCATGAATGTGTTAGTAATCAGAAAATAAGAAAAGAAAAATCAATACAGAGAATAGACGATGATTCAGAGGAAGAAAGTGATGTTGAAGAAGAAGTAAATCATTTTGTTACACTTTTGGGAAAAGCTGAATTTGAAGGTGGTAAAGAAGTGTTAGGGTCTGAGTCTGAAGAAGAACATGAAGTTGACTTTGCTGAATGTTATAAGGAGGTACATGAGACACTGATTAAGATTGGACAAGAAACTCAAGCCTTAGTAAAAGAAAAGCGTCGTCTTGACGAACTTGTTGAGTTACTACAGAATGAACTGAGGGATAAAACAAAAATCTGTCAAGAAAGTATGAAGGGCAAGCTGACTGTTTCTACAAGAGTAGGAAAATCTAACAGAGGTTTGGGATATACTGGACAAAAAGGATCTCAAACAGGGCAAATCATGTTTGTAGCTGAAAGTGTCTCTCCACCAAATCCAAACAAATATGAAAGTAATGCATCCAAAGGAACTGGATGTTATTTTTGTGGAAAGAATGGGCACATTAAAGCATATTGCTACAGATTCAGAGACAGAATAAGTAGACTCAAACATCAAGGGAAATTTTCCTGGAATGGATTCCGAAGTCAAATATGGGTGAAGAAATCTGATCTTTATCAGATTACATCAGAACATACGTCAGGAAGGATAGAAAGTAAGTCTGGAAAATCAAGAAGTACGTCAAGAAGTGGATATTCTCGTAATATGACTGCAACTGCTACAGAGACTGCAACTGCTACAGAAACTGCAACTGCTACAGAAACTGCAACTGCAGCAGAACCTGCAACAGAACCTACAGCAGAACCTGCAACAGAACCTGCAGTAGAACCTGCAACAGTACCTGCATTAAAACCTGCAGTAGAACTTACATTAAAACCTGCAGCAGAACCTGCATCAGAACGTGCACCAGAACCTCCAACTGTATCAGAACTTGCATCAGAAAGCTGCAACGAGGTAGAGAGTGTCAAGTACAAGATGTTATATGATCAATGGCTTAACCTAGTTGAGGAGAATTCAGTGTTAACAAGGGAAAAACTCAAGATGGAGGCAAAGGTGGCTGAAACACAAAAATATGCAATAAAGATGGAAGAAGAAGCATCACAAGCTAGAGTGCAACTTGAAGAAACTCACAAGAATTTGAGGATGCTTAATAATGGCACTAAGCAGTTGGATCATATTCTAAACATTGGCAAAACTGATCGATATGGTCTTGGATTTAAAGGAAATCTTTCAAAATCAGATACAATGTTTATCTCTGGTGGTTATTAGAGAGAGCTACATCAATGAGGAGAAGAAAGAAGAAGAGAAGATATGATATGCATCATCAAGGACAAAGTATGAAATTTCCGGATTAGTGAAGCAGAAAAACAGTTTCAAGATGCCTAATTCAAGGTAACGTTTGGAGATCTAAAAGTATTCTGATCGAGCTGAAACTTGGTGGCAAGCTTCTTGGTACTACTGTCTTAAAAATCAACGGTGGGATTGAGTTTTTGACGGTGGGTTTGGGTTTTATTCAACCTATTTTGGACAGAAGTCATATGAAGTTTCAGATTTGACCAACTTGACATTTGAAGTAGTTCAGCTGGGATTCATGTGTGTGTCAACCTATGAAAGTGTTTTTAACTTGTGTGTGCTCACAAGCAGGGGGAGAAGAATTTGGCTAAGAGAAAGATGTTGTTTTATGGGGGAGTTTTCATAAGATGGCATATGATTAAGGAGAAGTTTTGAAGATGGTTTTGCTTGTTCTTTGCTAGAACCCTATGTGGCTTGTGTGTAGCTTTATGGGTCTGCTTTACAGATGCTTGTGAGACACACAAAGTTAATAAGGGGGAGATTATTGATGCAGCCAGTTGACACACTCGATGTACCGGTGACAAAGTAGCACATGAAGTGATATAACGAAGCATGATGTTTTATCTCAACATTAAGTATGTGCTTTGGTTCTAAAACTCAGTCATCAAGGGGGAGATTGTTGGTGTTGTGAAGACCGAGTTTTAGAAGTTGCTGAGATCTTTGTTTCAAGGTTGAGAGAGAGTTTGGAGATCATCAAAGTAATAATTGAAGTTAATGATGTGTGAAGCTTGGATTATAAAACTCACTAAGAAAGGGAGAGATTGTTGATGTATTCTTAATGAGTTTTATATCAAGATGAAGAGAAACAGAAAGCGACATTTATTGAAGGCGAAGAGTGAAGATGAAGCTGCTGAAGTAGTCGTTGAACTAGTTCAGAGTAGTACAAGAAGTAGTTCAACAGAATAGAATTACGTGAAGCAAGTATTTGGAAATTGGTAAAGTCGGTCTATGGCGGTTGGCTGTGGATACTAGAAGCTTGGAGAAGATTCTAAAAGACTGAAGAGTTTCCTTTTCATAGGAAGAAATGGAAACATGAAGAGAAAGGACAATTTCCTTATCCTTAAGAAAAAGGAAATTGTCTATTCCTATTAGTGTTAGAATAGGAAATCGGCTTGTTGTATAGCCACGACCTATTTAGTATAAATAGGGGGCTTAGGCTTTAGAAAAGGAGAGCACAAGAGAGAAAGAGAATTCTTAGACATTAAGGTTATGGGGTTTCTTGTGAGAAAGCATAATGCTTAAGAGGGCTAAGGGATTTGTCTTGAGAGAGTTCTAGATCGGGTTGTGATCTAAGAACGAGAGATTGAGAGAATAGAAAATAGTTTAAGGAAGACCTTGTAAACGTATTTTCTATTAATCAAAAGAGTTTTAAGAAGAAATTCTTGTCTCAGCTTGTGACTCAGTTCCTGACTCAGTTTCTGTCTTATATCGTGAGCTAGTTCTCAAGTACTTAATAGCTCTTGCACTTTCAGATTTTGCACGCTTTGAATGAAAAGATCCTGCAATACCAACCAAGAAACCCAAACATCAGAGGCATCCAGCTCAAAGAGGAGATGAGAACATATTTTTGGAGTACACGAACATGAAAATGCTCTTGCAGGTTGTGTTTTTCTTGAACCAACATTTTAGAACATGGCTACTCACAATATAAGCATGTGATTTAGCAATAACATAAGCCAACCTTTGATCTTGAGTGAACAGCTGGATCTGTACTTCTTGAAAGAAGCCTTGCAAGAGGAAGCATCTCAGCAACCTCTGCCTTAGGCACTTCAAGTCTCATTCTCCATCTACCCATGGAGGATATAACACTTCCTAGATGACCAGTCATGGCTCTCATAAAAAAACTGCCAGCTTCCTTCTGACCAAGGTCTCTGTCACGGGAACCCGGCAATACATATTCACCTTGAAGCTCATACCGGCTATTGCTTTGTTCCAGAATAGTTTTCTCAACAGTGATCTCCAGGAAGAAAAATGAAAAGGATAAGCAGAGATACCATCATGCATATTCTCATATTGACTTCACTGCTAAACATACTTATCGATTATTCATTGTTTAATCTCACCATAACCTCTAATCCTCTGGACTACATGAAACTCTTAAAACAAGGTAATAAAACATAGAAATGAAACAGGCTTGATTTATATGGTGGCAAATGATGTACTATGAAATGTGATGAAACTAGACAACAGCGAGATCACTCTCTAGATTTCTTAGAAAACTAAACCAAACGAACAGGAACCTAGAACTCCACTAATTTTTGGCCGAAATACATACCACGTCACCGCTCCATCTGACTGCAACATCTAAAGCTTCACCTAGAACTCCACTAAATTTTGGCCGAATTACAGACAACAGGCCATGTCCTCTTCGCTTCTGAAGATTTAGTTGAATCTCTGCCTGCAAGTAATATGGAAAGTAAGATATTATTGATAATTTTATAAAGAGAGCACTCCCCTGTAGCTTCTGAAAAGCTGATTTTCTAAGTTATAAGCTTCTGAGAAATATTAAACCACATTAGAACTTCCAGTTTCATTATTCTGCTACAACTAACACATAATACTTGCAGGTTGTCATCTTAAGAACGTTTTATTAAGTCTTCATTGACACTGAACATGCAAGAAAATATCCTGAACACACTGAAGCTGATAATACTGACAATAAACTGCTCTATTTGAGACGTGGAGAAGTTGGCAGATTTCATAGAGTGTGAGCCCCGGAAGGATTATTCCGATTGGCTAAAAGGGAGAGAACGGTTTCGTAGTCAAAAGTGGAAGTCGGAGAAGATTGCCCTCCAAAGGTGGAATAAGAAGCAAAAAGCTTGGAGAGTGAACAAAAGAAAGAATGTTTAAAAGCTGACTAAGTGAGTGAATATAATCTTTCGGGTAGTCTAAAGAGTTGCTCACACTTGGATTCAGTGCATCTTGGATTAGCCAAAAGTTCGAAGCGTTCAGTGCGTTTGAAACGCATATAATTAAACTTTACGGAGGCTGCATAAATTCATCTAACAGAACTTGTCTCACAGTTTTTTTTAGCTTCACAATTCAAAGAAAAACAAACATTCGAGGACTTAGTTCGCAATCTTAATTTGGTAATTGCAATTGCAAAAAGCAAAAATATCCAACAGTTAACCCGAACAGAACCAAAGTAGATTTACTGTGAATGAGACCAAAGCATTTAAAGACGATAGCTAAGTCGCAAGGCCATTAGAGCCATTGTAGCATCGCGATTATAGGCCCCATCCCCACGACGTATACCCGTGGTGGCATACGACACGAGTCGTCCAAGCCAACATTGGACACAGTGACCACTGATATGCAAATGTCTCCGTCTCGGACAAAACTGTGATGTATAATCTCAATCAACCATTCAACTGTAAGGAGAAGATGCACTTGTGGGTGTTACTCATAATAATTATGCATTGCAAATAGAAATCCTTCAGTAGAGATTTTAAACATAGACCCCACTCCGTTCTAGTCCAAAGAGTCGAAGACATAAACACAAGCCAAAGACACACAACATCCGTGCATAGATAATAAACACTAACATGATAAAAAGTTTCCAATAGATAGCAGCTGATAGATTATATAGCAGACAAGATCCTCATGTCTCTCTGTCTTCTATTTGTTCCTTAGTGACAGCAACTTCAAGGCTCATGTGCCCTGGTTTCCCATCCATGGTTTTCCTTATTATAGCGTCGTGCTCACCAGCCCAGGGTGTTGAAGGATCAGCAATACACTTGTAACTTATGTAGAAGATTGCATTATCTGCCTTGAGCTTCTCACGGGCCTCTGTTGTGTATTCTTCTAAAGTTTGTACAACAACCTTCTTGATCTCCAAGGGTTTGCAAGCGCTTACACCCTGCAATTACATTTGTGGCAAGCGTAAAGAGGGGAAGAGACAAACAAGTTTCACTTGCTTTTATTTTTTTTGGGAGAGAACAAGAATTGCAACATTCAAGAACTTACACTCTCTGTTTTGGAGTAGAAGGCGACTTCCATGAGCAGTTGCAGCCAGTCATTCTCATGCAGCTCTGATTCTTGCACCTGCGAATGATGATGATCCACAGAAATTTATTAAAACTAGAACAAAAATTCAAAAACTCCAATGTGGACATGAAGGATGTTTCTTATTACCACGTAAACCTTTTTATCGTCACGGACCAAGGCCTCATCAGAAAACCATTTGGGCATCGGACCTTTGTAGGAATCATCTATTGCAGCCATGTCCCAAACTTCATCCACACTCTCGGTACCATCTAAAAAGTGATGTTTATAAACAGTTAGTCCTCTTTTGACAAATTCATCTCCAAAAACAGTAAGTCCCGAATAAAAACTGTTATGCTTATGGAGGTAATATAGATTCTTACGTGTTGCTTTGATTCTGGCGGCTAAGCTCGCCAACGTAAGACCGATACCCCAAGTAAGATACTGATAATCATTGCTTAACATGGTCTGAAAAGAGAAGACCGAGCCGCTGGTCGGAGCCGTTGCCTCGAAAGTTATGTAGTAGTCCTCGTATCTAGTCGAGTGAGTACCACACTTTTCCAAGCGTTTAAACTTATAGTTTGTTCCCTGTCAAAAACGTAAAAACTTATAATTTCTTTTTGACAAAAGACAGAGAGAGAGAGAATAGTGATGATGATGAGAGTTACCTTCTGAAAATTGTGGCAGTGGAGTCCAATCCTAGCAAAAAGGGCGATTTCATAATCATATTGCCAAGTAGACTGAATTTCTTCATAAGATCACCAATCCACATCAAACCCCTAACAAAATTAAACGACGCAGTCAGACTTTGGTCAGAACGGTAAGGCGCTTGTTCCGTGAGACTCTATACCCCTACGACAATCAGATCATCCAAAATCAAAATCACTACAAAACTATAAAGCTAGGAGGAATTTCGGAGAAAATTTACTAGGGCCAATCCGCAACTTCTCAAGGAGCCCCATCTTCGTTGCTGGTTTTCGAAAGTTTCAAGCTTTCGCTTTCGATTATTTTTGATTCTCTCTTGCACTGAAGATGCTTTTGTAATCCCGAGTTCACTTGATTCTTTTTCCGCCATACCCTGCAAGTAGCCAAACCCTTCAAGTCTCTCAAATCTCAATCTCAGACAATAACTTGGTTGCTTTGGGGTAGGCTGGGTATTCGGGCTATCCATTCGGGTTCGGGTAAACCCGAATACCCGGTCTACTAGAATTTGGGGTATGGCGGAAAATAAAACCTAATAGAATTTATAAGGTTTATAAGCCTATTGTAAAAGTTATTGTAAAGTTTTTTAAGGCTGTTATATGGTTTTTATATGGTTTTTGTATGGTTTATTACCTTTTATAATGCTTTTATATTGTTTTTACAAGGTTTTTATATGGTTTAATATCTTTTACAAGAATAATTCTCAGATTCTCGAAATATTAATTTTACAAAAGGTACTTCAATTTTAATAATATAGATAGATATCAATTTTAATACCACGGGATAATTTTTTTTAGTCAATCCTAAATAAATCAATTTGTTTTAATATATTTCTTATTATATTATGATGTGAAGAAAATAATAAAAAGAATAATAATTCGTGTAACGTTTGATTAATGATATTGTATATTTATATTAATATCGATCCAAACCCAACCCGTCATATAACTCCGTAATATTTTAAACTTTTTATCAGTTTAAATATTCATAATATTTTAAATTTTGATAATATGATGTTTCAAAAACGTTTTTAAAAAATCAATTAAAGATAATAGGATAATCATAATTTTAAATCTTGACAAAATCTTTTAAATATCTTCAATATTAACTATAATGTCATTCATTGTAAATAAGTCTCAACTTCAAACATACTCCACAAAAGGTACTTCAATTTTAATAATATAGATATAGATATCAATTTTAATACCGCGGGATAATTTTTTTAGTCAATGTTAAATAAATCAATTTTTTAATATATTTATTATTATAATACTAGAGATTAACCTGCGGTACACCGTGGGACAAATATTTAATTTATAATCACCTAAAATTCATAATTTATAAGTTTGATATTAAAGTTATTTATTTTGTATTAATTTTAGATTTAACCTGCAGTATACCACAGAATAATTATTTTTTCACTCAATCTTAATTAAATCAACTTGTTTTAGTGTTTTTAATATACTATAATATTAGTATTGTTGATAAAAAAAATGACTCGTATTGTAACATTTGATTAATGATATTTTATATTTATGTTAATATCGATCCAAACTCATCCCGCCATATAACCCCGTGATATTAAGAATATATAACCCTGTGATATTTAGAATTTTTTATCAGTTTAAGTATTCATAATATTTTAAACTTTTTAAAAATTTTAAATATATCGATAATAACATTTAAATTTTTTAAAATTTTTAAACTTTATTATATATGGTATAATTAAACAGTTCAATTAAATAACTGAATGAAACTGAGTATCTATATTATTGGAGAATTATAATTTAAAATCTTAACAAAATCTTTTAAATATCTATAATAAAATCTTTTAAATATCTATAATATAAATAAAGGGAGAATTACTCAAAAAACCTGTTTGAGCGACATCTTTACTAGAAAGACCCCCTCTTACTAGAAAGGCCTAAAAAAAGAGTGGAGAAATGACTTCAAAACCTGAGTATTTATTTTATATTTACAACTGATGCCATTTAGAATTAAAAAATTAAAATTATAAAAGTGTTGAAAACCTAAGATGTGCCTTTAATGGCGTCGACAAACTTTCTTGGGACCTTGGCGAGAGCAGATGGACTTCCGTACGGTAGAGATTTCGATACGCATCAACCAACCGACAAATCCGGTTACTCCGGTGACTAGAACTTTTAGGCCCCCACGACACCTAGGACGAGCCGATTTACGGAATTGTTTCTTCCAGTGAGAATCGCCGTATTTCGTGGAAGAATCGTTGAGATTCCGACGGAGGGGTTAAGACCTCCGGGAAACGTCTATCCTCTTGGGTAAGTGCCAAATTTCGTATCTTTTGTTTGAATTTCTCTGTTTGTTGGTACTTTTTACTGACCCATTTGTGGGTTTGTTCTTTCTCCGTTTGATTTCTAGTGGCTTCATTTTGTGTTCCTCTGTTATCCTACAATTCGAATTAGCCAATTGTTTTTACTCTTACAATTTTGAATTCGAATAACCAATTGTTTTTACTACCTGTAGATAGTCAGTTCTTGGGCTGAGATTATAACTAGATAGCTTGATGTCTTTGCAATTGTTGAAGTAGATTTTGGTATCATGTAATGGTGCTTTTTGTTTTTGGAATCATTGGAGCTATCGATATATGAAAGAATTATAATATTAAAAAGAGCTGAATTTTTAAATTTTGCAGGTTTGTAAAACAAGGTTATCAAGTGATTAAGTGAGGTGAAGAAACAAAGAAAGAGTAAATCTTCTAGAAAGGATTCTATATTTAGCCAGGTTTGTAAAACAAGGCTATTATCTCTGTCGTTTTCATTTATTCTACTGATGGATTTCAAGTGCTATTTGTAAATTTCTTATATTGTCGTTAAGGTCTGCTTCTCTGTCTCTCATGTGTGTTCATTCGTTCTGATTTTGTATTTCCTTTGTATGCTTCTGTTTGATTTTGGTGTCTTGATTTCGTGGTATCAGGAGCTTGATGAGATGAAGAGGAGATTGAAGGAGATGCAGGAAGAACCTGCTGCACTGCGGGAGATGAAAGCAAAAGTCGAAAAATAAATGGGAGATGTTCAAGGTCTGTGGCTCTTTCGTTTCTTTGCTCGTGTGTTTTCTAGAAATTCGATATACTGGGACTCTGTTAATTGTCTTAATTCGTTTGATTCATGTTTCTTTTTGGAAATGAGTTCTATTTTAGAATTGAGTTTTAGTAGTTGCAGGTTTCTCTTCTTGACTTGAGTTCAGTTTCAGTTTCAGATTTGACTTTGAGTAGTCGCATGTTTCTTTTTTGGAAATGAGTTGCAGGTCTCTTACTAACTTGAGTTCATTTTCAGATTTGAGTTTAACTAGTTAAGATTATGTTTTATGTTTAGTGATTGTGATATCGTTATCTCCAACGTTAATAATTTATTTGTAACATTGATTTTAATTTGTTGTGCTTGCTTGAAGAATTTAATAAATCCAAGGATAGTAATAAATTTACTATTCTGTTCTTTTTTTAATCCATCTCTGCAATTTCTCATGGAGAAAGCCTCTGTTTCGTATAGAACTTAGGCTTTAAGTTCGTGGATCACTAGGCCAATGTAGAGACTAGTTTACTGACTATTTTTAAGACTTTTTGGTACTTTTCATTTGTGGTTTCTGAAGCCTTATTGGTCGTATTGCTGTTGTTTTTGTTTTTATGGTCCTTGCTCACTTCTAGAGGCGGAAGAGATGCGTGCATACAAGGAGAACACCAGCAAATTGATCTCTCACGTTGGTTTTCAGGAACCTATGGCTCCGGTGAGGTTCATACCTAAGAAAGCGGCTGTCTTTGAGTTCATTTTCAGATTTGAGTTTAACTAGTTAAGATTATGTTTTATGTTTGCAGGAGAAATTTCTTTACCAGGTGGTAAAGCAGAAGAGAATGATAAGGATGATGGGATTACTGCAACTAGAGAGGCAGAGGAAGAGATTGGTTTAGACCCTTCGCTTGTTGATGTTGTTGCTTTCCTCGAACCATTCCTGTCTCAGGTATCAAAAGTCCTCACTGTCCCCTTCTCCTTGCTGCTATTTTTATAACAAATGCATGTTCGTATTAGGAGCCGTGTTTTGTGACACAAGAGTAACGGTTGATTATTAGGCAGATATGCGTTTTCAAGTGTCGAGGCCATATTCAACCAGTGACTGTCTTTAGGCCATTGTGATTTTCATAACTGAATTTTGAATCTTTGTTCGTAGTTCTAATACAATTTTTTCGTGTCCTAGTAGCAGAGTAATGGTAACTGCAGCGGCCCTCTATATTTTTTCTAAGATCCTGAATAAATTTTAGAAGTAGCTGAAGCCTGAATATCCTGCCTTTTAATGTTGGTTTAGTCTCTATGCAATATTTTCCCTGCCCCATACCAAGCTTTCTTTAGCTTTTATGAAGTGAGAGATGCATAGTTCTCCAACTCTGAACAATATTTTGCTTATCTGTGATTCATGTTCCAGTGCAGCATCTGCTTAGAGTAATTCCTGTAATAGGAATATTGTGGGACAGAAAAGCATTCAATCCAACGCCAAGTCCTGCAGAGGTGGAAGCCGTGTTTGATGCACCCTTTGAAATGTTTCTGAAGGTTTCTCTCGTTTCTTTTTATCGAGGATGCTTTATAGTTGCATTCTTTATTTACTCTGAAGCATTGGTGGTTGAAAAATATCTTACACAGGATGAGAACCGGAGATCCGAGGAGATTGATTGGATGGGGGAAAAGCATTTGGTCCACTTCTTTGATCTCCTCACGCTGCAATAATCTAGGTTTAAAGCTTGTCTGTGATGTTTCTTCTTCTTCTGTTTTAATGAATTTTGGGATACATTATGGATCAAATGGTTTCTTGTGATAGTTAACCTGCCACCTCCATTGTAATAGACAACCACATGCATGTAAGCAGCTGTTGGATGTCTGAAAATATAGAAATTATTTAATGAATTTCAGTTACGTAGCGACGTCGTGGTTAGCGAGTCCTCATCTTCAGACTTGTTTTTTGAATTTTAATGGATTGCCTCCAGTATTCAGCTATTGAAGGTGAGTTTTGAACTTTTTCCTATTTTTTTGCGATTTGATACACAAATTGTTACATTTTAGCTAATGAAGTCTGGTTGATACGTTTGATGTGTCAGACAACTATTTTGTGCTTCTGATGGTGGAACGATTGTATATATGTAAGACATTGAAGTAATAATCTTTACTTCTTTTGGCACTGCTTATTCTTGTCCAGGTAGTACCTGTTGTTGATGGAGTGCAGGTGTATTCAATGGTTGAAGCACACAAGCTAGACTTATCCGTTGCACCTGTCTCATCTAGTAGAACAGCCATATCGAGGAAACGTAGAATCTCATGATCTCGTTCTTCTCGCACTTTTCAATATGTCCAAGAGTTGAGAGATTACGTAAGAAAACTAAATCCAAGGGCTTACACGATCCAAGGTATATGTGTGGTGTAAATGCAGTTAATACAGCTATTGACCAGCTAGCTTTGAACAAAAGAATCATGTGATTACTTATGGTAGACCAACACAAAAAAAAGTTTAAGACAATGTGCTGTCGTCACCTTCTCATTTTCTAGTATTTTTTTTGGTAAAAGGATTTTCTAGTATTTTTGTTTTGTTTCGAACAAATTAACCCTTCAATAATTGATCAACAATGCTATTAAACAATAATTGATCAACAAGAGGACTTGTACCACACGGTTTTGTTTCCTATGATAATTTAATTTTATAGAACACTCAGATAACAGATTACTCGAGAAAAATATTATGTACTACTATTGACTAAATTGAAAAACTACAAAAGTATAACTGTGTTAAAAAGATGACGCATACATGGGAAAAGATGGCGCACGTGGGAAAATTATTGAAATTCAATCACCACTTTTGTCCGAAAAGTTTGAATCAGACGAAAAGTGAAGATGGCGATGGCGACAAGATGATTTTAATACGAAGTGCACGTGGAGTAAAAAGACAGCGCATGTAGAGATACACCCTGGTACAATTATGTTTTAATTTAAAATTTGCAACTAAAAAATTTTAAAAATTTAAATAAATCACCAATTTTTATGTTAGTGAATGCAAACATTAAGACATATCATATTTTAACATATATTACTATATTGTTACTTTTATGATTCATGTATAGTAAACATTCATTACACTTTGATTGTTACTTTGTAAATTTTAACCAAGTAATTATGTCAAATATACAAACAACATATTTTACAGATATTGTTATATGAAATTTTAGTAATTGTATTTTTATTACCTAACATCAAAAATACAACTGCAAAAAGTAAATTTAAATTAAAGTACTACTGATTATTAGATTAAAATACCAAAGTACAATTGTGTTCAGAGACATACTACTACCATCTTGAGTACAACTATGTGTAAATTTGACGGCGCCTATGTGAGTAAAAGACGGAGCACGTGGGAAAGACGGCGCACGTGACGGCTGATTTACAGAAAGACGGCGCACGTAACGGCTGAGTTACGGAAAGACGGCGTACGTGACGGCTGAGTTACGGTATACACAAATTTAAAGTTCAAAACTTATATATCCTCGAAATCATAGTTTGAATCATTATTACCCACATACTTTACAACGCTAATAAGTCTGTTAAAACGTGTGTTAAGTTGAAAATTACAAAATTCTGTCATTTTGTGTTGTTATGAAAGAATCTACACAACATATCCCTTATACTTTTAAGTCACTTTGTAAATAATGACCAACTTATGATGAAAAAGTGACGGAAATCAAAGTTTAAAACATATTAATGCATAAAATACTCCGAATTATATGTTAATTGAGCTATATCAACTATACAACTAAATAAACAAATTAAAAGTATATGTGATACTAATTAAACGGAAAACACTATTTGAAATTTTGGTACAACTACTAATACACTTGGTATAACTATCTGTAAATTTAACAGCGTCCATGTGAGTAAAAGACAGCGCACTTGGGAAAGACGGCGCACATGACGGCTGAGTTACGGAAAGACAGCGCACGTGACGGCTGAGTTACGGTATATCCCAAAAAAATGTTTCTCATTTTATATCCCCACGAATTTAAAGTTCAAAACATATATATCCCCGAAATCATAATATCAAAAGTACAACTACAAAAAGTAAATTTCAACTAAGGTACTACTGATATTAGTTTAAAATACAAAAGTACAACTGTGTTCAGACACATACAACTACCATCTTGAGTACAACTCTTTAGAAAATTTGGTAATATTTAACTATTCTTTTCAAACATGTGGTCTTTTTCCAGCAACATGTGTTTGTTTTGCCATGTTCCAATGCAGCATCTGCTTAGAGTAATTCCTGTAATAGGAATATTGTGGGACAGAAAAGCATTCAATCCAACGCCAAGTCCTGCAGAGGTGGAAGCCGTGTTTGTCTTATTTCTATGACTGTAACGTTTTGGTGATGTTAATCTGGATTTTGTTATACTTTTGCTGATTTTGATGATGTTAATTGTCTAGTTTTTGCTTATGTCTTGTTTTTCTCTTGTTTTTGTCTGGTTAATGTCTGGTTTTTGCATAAGTCTGGTTTTTGCTTATGTTTGGTTTTGAGAAGTCTGACTTATCTTTAGCATTGCTTACTAAAGCGTTTTTATTGCTTCTTATGTCTGTTTTTCTGCACCATTTTGTCTGGTTTTTTTAACGTTTCTTTTTGTTGCTTTAGTGTACCATAACAGCTGATAAGGGAAACCCTTTTGGACTTGGAAGACTTAGAGAGACTGTCAACAACAGGAAGAGAAAAGAAAGTTGTGCAAGCTCTTCATCATCCTTGTCAGAGATGCAAGAACAGTTTCAGGCTGCTCGTCGAAAGTTAGCTGAGCAAGACTTAATCAATTCTCAACGTGAGGCGGAGCAACGCATAGCTCAAAGTAGGTTCTCAAGCTTGGAGATGATTGTCTCATACTTGAAGACCAATGATCCCCAATTTGCAGACTTTTTGGCGCGTCAACCACCAATCATCCCACCTGAAACTGACCAGCCACTAGACAAGGCACTGTACCAGCCACTGGACAGGGCACTGCACCAGCCACTGCACAAGGCTCTGCACCAGCCACTGCACAAGGCTCTGCACCAGCCAAAGGATATCCCTTGTTGTTCTTCTCTTTCTTTTGTGCAGCCTGGTAATTAAGTAGTTCATATTTGCACATGGGATACGAGAAAGCCTCTAACCTACTCTAATTCTAGCGCCATGAAAGCTTGTAAAACCATGGTTCGAACAGCTCATGAGGATGATGGTCACTGGACCAAGAGTGAAGAATGCTGTCAAGTTGAGCAGAGTATCTGCTTACTGAATTCAGAACCTCCTATTGATGATATGATAGAGGATGACACCACTTTCCTTTTATATATCTCTATTACATGTATACTCTTATCATTTGTATATAAAATATTTCCAACAATATTCTTTTGTTCTCCATTTTCTTTGAAGGTGTAAAGATTACTTTCTCGGCAGAGAATCTTATAGAAATATAGATGGAAAGTGTTTCTTGATTGTGATTGTTTGTTTGTGTAACGTTTATTTATATGAGATTTGTTTGTGTAACAAGTCCGGGGTGAATACAGCAATTGACCCGATTAGGGGTTGGATTTTTAGGTACTTTACTGCAAGGTTGATGTCAGAAAATATTCGAACATCATTCAACACATGCTTGCATACCTTAACTTCATCGAGTTCCCGAGAGATAAAAAGTTCGTTATTATATTGTTCCACAGACATATGATCGATGTGGCATCCAATACCTTTCCAATCAGCTTCTACTGGAATTCCGTTATTCATTGCAAATACCATAGCTGAATAGGATGAATAACCATAACAGTAATGAGCACCTTTACTATCTTTAAATCTTCCCTGACTTGAAAATGTGAGTCATCACCCCGGACTTGGGTATGATTGAAAATGTGAGTCATTCTGTCTGATAAATTATGTATGTTGTTCTTTTGTTTTACGTTTGAATCTTTTTTAACTAAGATTTTATTTTTCCAATATTCAGGAAATTTACCGTGGGCCTACAAGGGATGATTCCATATTCAAAAGATGGCATTCCGTCTCCATTCGTTCGATAACATTTGTGAATGGGGAAGCAATTGCAGAGTGTAAAAACTCTCATGGTCCTAAGAGAGGAAATCAGGGTTATTTTAAGGCATCCCTGGATGTTATGATAAGTGACGTATATTCAAACGGATCGTTTAAATCTCCAAGTAGATTATTCAGGAATTTTGTCTATGGTGAGGTTAGGAAAGAATATGAGGTATGTTCTTTGTTTTCTTGTGGATTAATAGTTATTAATCATAGTTATTTAATTTTCTTATATCTGATGTTTTGTTTTCTTAAGTAATGTGACAAAAATTAACTTCCTTCTTAATTTTTCTTATTTTCTTTAGAAAGAAGTAGTTGAGTGTATAAGTAAAGAGTCTACATGCCCCACCACTCTCCCGAAAGATACATTACTTCGTATATTTGAAGGGATTTATCATAACACATCGGTTCGTGTGTGTCAATCTGAGGTATGTTTAAAACACTATAATTCTTTTCTATTTGATTATAGTCCTATTGAATGTAACAATTTGCATATTTTTGGGTGATCCAAGGGTAAAGAAGAAGTTATTGGAACCCCGATAGACCGAGCTCTATTTAAATGGGCTATAGAGGTTATTTTTGTAGTTTCATTTCTTTCATTATATCAATATTTGTTGTTTTGTTGTCAACTATTTTTAATGAACCTGCAGCTACAAGCGAAGATGAATATCACTTATAACAAGTCTGACTCTATCACGTTAAAAGGTCCATGTGATAAATGCCTTCCGTGTAAGAAAGGGGTTAAATCAGTGCCGAAAGTTGAAGCCAAAGGCACTGCAGTGGAGGGTGTATGAGTTATAATTTTTTCTATCAACTTCTAGTTATAAGCATTAGTTTCTAACTTCTATTTTGGTCTTTTCATTTCTCAGAAAATTCCCTCTCTAAATGGGGTACGCATCCATTGGAAAGGCAAACCTGAATTCATTCTAGAAAAATGTCTTCTCGATGGTGCTGGAAAGGTTAGCAGCAGTTATTTATTTTTTATTTTCATTTTTTGTATTCATGTATGAAAATCTGTTTGGCAAAACCTAAATTCTGTCATTTCAGGAAAGAATACTTGAAGCTATCAAGAAAATGGCTGCAAAAAATTTAATCTGTATTGCTATTTGCACTAATTCGGAGATGAATCAGTTTGTTCCAGATGAAGATAATCGCAAACAGTGGGAATTAACATGTGATCGTCTTGATTTGTTGGCTGTATTTGGTATTCAGGTTTTTTCCTGAAACTTTATCCTTTATACAATCTTGTAATATTGTTATGCTGACTTAAATATCTTATTGTACTTTTGTAGAGTCCACGTATCTTACCTAAGGATGCTCTTGAAAAGCAGGTATGTAGATATATCTCAATTGTTGTTTATGTTTTGTTTGTTTTTAGTGATATCTAATATTTTCTTGGCAGGCTCCCTTGGATTTCGACGAAGGAGATGATGATCCCAGTTTGGATTATTTGGTTGATTTGGTTGATAGCACAATATGTTCATCAATTTCAAGTAATCAGGGTTTATAAAGATTCAAGTTTCATTATTGTTCAATCACAACAAAAATTTCGTTATATTTCTGTGGAATTTTAAAGTTTTCGATTTTCTTTCCTAATATGTGATTAGGCTTCGAAGAGAATATGGAGGGGACGCCACAGGTTGAGGATGAGGTGAAACATATGTCTCCCTTGTTCCGAGTTTTCTTAAAAACATATGTAGCTCGAGCTGCTGAATTTCTTATTCATAATTGGGATCTCTCTTAGGTGGTTAGTTATTACTTCTCATTGGTTCTAATCAAATCTGATTGCGTGGTTTATTTTCTTTTAGCTTTTTGATCTGGATTGGTCTTCCTATCCGCCTACACTAGTTAAGTCTACTTGGCAATATGATTATGAAATCGCCCTTTTTGCTAGGTAACTCTCATCATCATCACTATTCTCTCTCTCTCTCTCTTTTGTCAAAAAGAAATTATAAGTTTTTACGTTTTTGACAGGGAACAAACTATAAGTTTAAACGCTTGGAAAAGTGTGGTACTCACTCGACTAGATACGAGGACTACTACATAACTTTCGAGGCAACGGCTCCGACCAGCGGCTCGGTCTTCTCTTTTCAGACCATGTTAAGCAATGATTATCAGTATCTTACTTGGGGTATCGGTCTTACGTTGGCGAGCTTAGCCGCCAGAATCAAAGCAACACGTAAGAATCTATATTACCTCCATAAGCATAACAGTTTTTATTCGGGACTTACTGTTTTTGGAGATGAATTTGTCAAAAGAGGACTAACTGTTTATAAACATCACTTTTTAGATGGTACCGAGAGTGTGGATGAAGTTTGGGACATGGCTGCAATAGATGATTCCTACAAAGGTCCGATGCCCAAATGGTTTTCTGATGAGGCCTTGGTCCGTGACGATAAAAAGGTTTACGTGGTAATAAGAAACATCCTTCATGTCCACATTGGAGTTTTTGAATTTTTGTTCTAGTTTTAATAAATTTCTGTGGATCATCATCATTCGCAGGTGCAAGAATCAGAGCTGCATGAGAATGACTGGCTGCAACTGCTCATGGAAGTCGCCTTCTACTCCAAAACAGAGAGTGTAAGTTCTTGAATGTTGCAATTCTTGTTCTCTCCCAAAAAAAATAAAAGCAAGTGAAACTTGTTTGTCTCTTCCCCTCTTTACGCTTGCCACAAATGTAATTGCAGGGTGTAAGCGCTTGCAAACCCTTGGAGATCAAGAAGGTTGTTGTACAAACTTTAGAAGAATACACAACAGAGGCCCGTGAGAAGCTCAAGGCAGATAATGCAATCTTCTACATAAGTTACAAGTGTATTGCTGATCCTTCAACACCCTGGGCTGGTGAGCACGACGCTATAATAAGGAAAACCATGGATGGGAAACCAGGGCACATGAGCCTTGAAGTTGCTGTCACTAAGGAACAAATAGAAGACAGAGAGACATGAGGATCTTGTCTGCTATATAATCTATCAGCTGCTATCTATTGGAAACTTTTTATCATGTTAGTGTTTATTATCTATGCACGGATGTTGTGTGTCTTTGGCTTGTGTTTATGTCTTCGACTCTTTGGACTAGAACGGAGTGGGGTCTATGTTTAAAATCTCTACTGAAGGATTTCTATTTGCAATGCAAAATTATTATGAGTAACACCCACAAGTGCATCTTCTCCTTACAGTTGAATGGTTGATTGAGATTATACATCACAGTTTTGTCCGAGACGGAGACATTTGAGACGGATATTATTATGAGTAATCCCGCAGCCAGGGGAGCCATGTGAAAACCCTTGACAGTAACACTCACACGTTTGTGGAGTAGTTTCTTGTTATTGCTTTTGGTTTAGTTATTCTGAATCATGAGATAACTTAATTTGTGATTTTGCAAGTTAACTTAATTTGTGATTTTGCATATTACTCATTTTTTTTTTTTTTTTTTCATATAGTAACTAAATTTTGTAGTGAATAATTACTTTGAAGTTGAGAAGTAGCTTTTATAAACATTATAATGGAAATTTGGTGTAAGTATGTGTTTTTTTCAAAAGAATTTCATTATTGTGGGATCTCTAACATAAGGTTACATGATCTAGTTCTGTGAGTGATCACAAATTGTAACGATGCATGATGACTTTTGATTGTGTTATTATAATATATGATAATGTTAGCTAGAGAGAGATAATTTATCTAGTGCTACGTTTGCGATGATATATGTCTTGGTTTTAAGGAGATTGAATCTGATTTACATTGCAGATTATTGGTAGAGGGAAGATTAAGCAGAAGATTGTTCATCTTGTGGACGAAGTTCAAAACCTTCTAGAAAATATGGAATCTAGTGACGTTGTTTTGCTTGCTAATTGGAACGATGTTAACTTTGCTTTTAAACTTGCAAGAGAGGCAGAACAGGGAGATATTTGTGTCATATGTAGTGAAGAAACCGTAGCGGAGCGCATGTTCTTTAACGACAAATGCCTTCACCGTCATTGCTTTTCTTGTGTTAAAAATCATGTGAAAGCGAAGCTGGATAGCGGAAATGTGCCCACATGTCTTGTCTATGGATGAAAGTTTGAGATTACCCTTGAAAGTTGTAGTAAGTTTTTGACACCTGAGCTGATAGAGATGTGGAAACAAAAGATGAGAGAGGACTCGATTCCAGCTGAAGAGAGAATCTATTGCCCATATCCAAAATGCTCAATCTTGATGTCTAAAACCGAGCTTTCAAGATCTGCTAATGAAGCCTCAGATCAATCCAATGTTCGGACATGTATCAAGTGTTGTGGACTCTTTTGCATTGATTGCAAAGTACCATCACATTCTGTTTTGTCGTGAGCTGATTACAAGAAACACTTCACCCTGAACTCATTGTTATATATGACTAGTGTTTTGGTTTTTGCAGCTACGACGTGCCCTTGGATGATAAATATCCTTTTTTTCATTGAGGAAGGGAGTGCTGATGATTAGAATGATGACAATTGGGATGACTGATTCTGGAGGTTTAACTGATTCTGGCAATGAAAGAGGCTTTACTCAGAATTATTCAAGAGTTATTAACTTGTTATACTCTTTAATATCTGTTTGGATTAACACAGAGATTAGAGTTGTTTTGGAACACATTCTATTGTTTTGATTTGGCATTTTCCTTGTTTATGACGTTTGAGTGAATGTTTAGATTGAGAATTTTAATGACATTTTTGGCTTTGGAATTATCTCATTATTAGTTTTTTTAGAAAGGGAAATGAAAGACAGAGCAAAGGAAGAAACAAGAGACACACGAGATTTGTAACACGGTTCAACACATCGGTATGATGGAGTCTACGTCCGGGGCCAGATCAATACTGACGATCCACTAAATGAGAAGAAGATTACAACTCAAGAACTATGAGCAAAAAAATAGATGAATGGAGAGAGGAGCTCATCAAGAATCGAATAAAGAATCGATCAAGGAAGAAGAAGCTAAGGGATTTGATTTTTAAACCCCAATTCCGTTTGTAACAGCAAAGTCTCGCTTTGAAGAAGGCGGGATTCGTCTAATGATATGTTTACGCATCAAAAAAAAAAGGCATTGAAGGGTTTAATGTTCATATTGCGGTATACACGAAAGTGTGTAGAAGTCACTGGAGCAAGCGGAGGGTTTGACTTTGAGTCAACAAGCTGAGGCACGTGAGACGTTAGACAAGCGTGTGAGGAAGAGACTTCTACAAGCAAGTATAAGGCTTTGTCTTCTTCTTTCTCATTTTGTATCTTATCCTCTTTCTTGTTGTTGTTGTTGGTTGTAACGGATTGGGAAAAGCTCACGAGTTTCGATCAAGAACAAGGTGACCTAGTGGATTCCGGCCCGACGTACGTAGGCTCCGGTTTGGAGCTGAACTCGTTAAATTCGTGTGTTGCTTCTCCCATTTTCTCTTTCTTTCAAACATACAAACGAATGAATCCAAAGTGAGTTGAGAGCGAGTTTAGATTCGGGTTGATCGCACATGCATATTAAAACGAATTTAAAATCTATATAATAAGAACAATTTGAATTCTATTTTACGGTTAAGTTTTTTTTATCATAATTTTTTTTTTCAAAAAAGATTTTCAACGGTCGCGTTTTTTTCTTTATATCCTAAAATCAATAATATTATTAATTTTCAACATTTAATTGAAATCGTTGCAACATTTAATTTGTTTAATAAGTTTTAACTTATTTTATGAACCGTTGTAACTTTTATTTCATTTAATGAATAATTGCAACATTTGGTATATTTGACATTTACGGTTGTGACTTTAGATATAACTTTAAATAAATTATTTTGTATTACTAAAATAAATCTAAATAAATTGTTACAACTATTTAGTGGAACCATTGATATTGAAAATCACATTTTTGGTATATTTTCTTATAAACTATTTTTTATTACTAAAATATAGTTAAATGAATTATTTTCCTTGTTTATTTACATTTAAACCACTTTACCATTTGGTTTATTTGACGAATTATTACCACTTTTAATTTAATATATAAATCATTGTAACCTTTAATTTATTTGACGAACCATTGCAACTTTTATATATGATATTTATGTTTGCGTCTCTCATTATAACTCTTCATAATTTTTATTTCAAAATTTTTAAATGAAATGTTGCGACTGTTTATTGAACCATTGCAACATACAGTAAAACCTCTACAAATTAATAATGTTGTGTCTACAATATTTTATTAATTTATAGTGATATTAATTTATCTATAAATTAATATTTATTAATTTATCTATAAATTAATATTTATTAATTTATTGGATAAATTAATATTTATTAATTTATTGGATAAATTAATATTTATTCATTTATAGGAATATTTTACAAAATTGAATGATATAACCGATAATTAATAAATTTACTTAAATGATATACATAAATGAAATTTATGATTAGTGGCATTAATTGTTGTATTTAAATCGTCTGTATGACTATCAAAATGAAAATGATGTATATTCAGATTTTGAAAATTTACATAAAATTTTGTTTATTTTTATGGAATATTTATATTGACGATGATAAAAAAAAAAGAGTTTTAAAACACAATATAATATTTTTTATATTAAAAATTAGTGATGAGTTAATTTTAAGAAAAAATTATTTAAAAAACACTTAACCATATATTTGTGGAAGCCCCCTTGGCCCATTGGTTGACCAAGGGTTGATTAATGCTTCTACACCAAAAAGTCTGGGGTTCGAGTCCCATGTATTGCGATTTATTAACAAATTTGCAGATTAATGGAGGCAAGTGTGCAAGAGATCTCCAGCGATGTACAATTATAGCCGTTCGCCAGGATTCTACGCAGAGAAGGAAGTGTAGCCAGGTCGTGGATCATTGAAGGTATTCATCAAGATTACGAAGAAGGAAGTGTAGTCTGTCGTGAATCTAG